TAGCCTCCCTTGCTGCTGTGGTACAGGCAAGGGAGAAATTCAATGGTCTCTCTGACATCAGAAGGGACACAGGAAAGCGTGAGTCAGTGAAGGGTGTGTTATCTAGGGGACTGGAGCTTAATCTTGCTGGGGAGTTCTAGGAGACAGTGTAGAACTCTAGAGTTGAGCCATCCAAGGGGTGAGGGAGCTGGAGTATTTATCCACTAACTCCCATCAATTGCTGGTAGAGGGCTGCTACTGTGGGCATTAATTCCCTGGCCTTCTCCAGTTCTTGGGCAGAGTGGGTTCCAGCAGTCAGAATGAGCCCTCCAGAAGACAGTCTCAGAGCTGACAGTTGGAAGCCAGATGGTGTGCTTGGAAATGGTAAATACGGTGGGGATATGGGTGAAGCACCGACAGCATCCTTGACATGCCGTTTCTAGGGATTGTGCCTCCCTCCCTCCCTTCACATCTGTGTTCTCATGGATCCTGCCATCTTCTTGCAGACTTCACCTCCACCCCAGCCACAGATGGTTGGTTTGGTGTGGGCAGGTAATTCATGCTAAGCCAATTTTCTTCTTTTTCCAGGATTCTTTTTTTTTAAATTATGGGGCCAGCATGAGTGAGCTATTGATGACAGAAATGCTACAGTTCCATAAGGAACAGAGAGGGCTGAACAAAGCTGGCCCAGAGAGAATCAGAGACAAGCTATGGAGAGAGCGTCCTGAAATCAGTCCAGGTCTGTCTGAAGGCTCATCACCCTTTTCCTCTGATGTTTGTGTGCTCAGCTTTCTCTTTAGAGCACGTGGGCATTAACCTTCGAATCTTCACACCCTTCACCCTCTAAACTCGGCTAGTCAGGTTGGGCATTTGAAACTATGTCAGATAAGATATATATTTGGAAAAAAAAAAGATATATATTTGGCCACAGTAACAAAATTCCCCAAATAACAGTGCAGTTTCTATTGTCTGTTACTTTGCAACAGACCATTCCAAAATGCAGTGACTTAAAACAGCAGTGATTTATTATTTCTTATTCTGTGAGCTGACTGGGAGGTTCTTCTGCTTCACGTGGTGTTGCCTGGGGTCACTCAAGTGGCTGCATTGGCTGGTGGCTGGCATGGTATGGAAGACCCAAGATTACTTCTTCCATCTGCCTAGGACCTTGGCACTTGGTGCTGGCCGGGGTGCCTTGATCCTCCACCATGTGGCCACTCTACATGGGTCTCATTTTCTAGGGCCTCTTTGTGTGACCTCCTCTCCAGGAAGGGAACTTGGATTTTCTTACAACATGGCAGCTGGTTTCCAAAAGAGTCAAAGGGAAAGTTGTGAAGCTTCTTAAGGCGTCGGCTCAGAATGCATACAGCAGCACTTCCACTGTGTTTTTAGTCAAAGCAAGTCGCAGGGTCAGTTCAGATTCAAGGAGAAGGAAAATGAATTCTCTGCCTCCCGATGAGAGGGACAGCGTACGTCTATTGGGAAGAAGAAATTCTTGGTGACTGTCTTTGGAGACTACCTGCCTCGAGGGGTGCAAACAAGGTAGAAGTTTCTCTCTCACATGCAGTCCTGGACTGACGTGGCTCCTCCAAGGTGATGGGCACTGAGCCTCCTATCTTGTCGCTCTTTCATCCTTATGATGCTTCCTCATCCACTTGTTCCAAGAGGGCCCCTCCCACAATCAAATTTCAGCAAAAGAGAAAATTGAAGGAGTAGATGTACCCTTCCACAAAGACTATGACCTACAAATTGCCTGTTCACTTCCCACACTGCCCATCAGCCAGAATGAAGTCATACGGCCACTCTAAATGCAAATGAGGCCAGGAAGTACAGTCTTCAGTTTGGTGGCCAGATGTCCTGCTAAAAATTCCATGGAAGAAGGAGCCAGGGAGATATTAGGGGACACTAACACTTCTTATTTGCCAAGTGATTAATTCAAGAAGAAATAGTGGACATTGCGGAACACCCTTAAACTTTAGCAGAGATGAGGAGCCATGTTTAATCCAACCTGTTGCCACTCATGGTTATTTAGTCCAATATCCAAAGAATATTTATTGAGCATCTCCTATGTGTGTTGGGATTACAGCAGTGAATAAGCAGAAAGGTCCCTATTCTCATGGAGTTCCATTCTAGAGGAAGTGGTAGGCAGTAGAAATGTGAACACATAAATCAGAGAATTTCAGGTATGACAAGTACAGGAAGAAAATGAAATGGGTTGTGGGAGGTGACTTTAGCAGTGGTGTTCAGGGAAGGCCTCTGTGAAGCTGTGATATTTACGCTGAGACCTGGAGGATGAGAAAGGGCCAGTAATGCAAAGACCCTGGGAAAAGCAGGGGGAACAGCAGGTGCAAAGGGTCTGAGGTGACAATGAGCTTGACTTATTCGAGAAACATCAAGATGGCCAGTGTAGCTGGAGGAGGGGAAGACAGGTAGGAGGGGAGGACAGAGGGATTGGTGGGTTTTTATGGGAACATATGTTTTTAATTCTCTTGGATAAATGCTTGCTTCTGTTGAATTGCTGGGTCTCTGGGTAGGTGAATATTCAACTTTATGAGAAACGACCAAACTCTTCCAAAGTGGATTTTTTTACATTCCCATTAGCAGTGTATTAGATTTCCAAGTGCTCCACATCTCTGCTGACGCTTGTCAGGGTCAAACTTTTTAATTTTAGTCTTTCTCGTGGGGATGTAGTGCTCTCCCATTGTGGTTTTGATTTGCATTTCCCTAATGCCAAAGGATGTCGAGCACTTTTTCACATGCTTAATTGGCCACTCGTATCTTTTTCTTTCATTAGGTGTCTGTTCAAACTTTTGGCCATTTAAAAAATTGATTCTTTGTATGATTTTTCAAAAAGTTTCCTCTGGTAGCTGTGGAGAGGATGGGCTGTAGGGGGCAAGTGGAAGCAGGAGAGTGGGGAGTGGCTATAGCTTCTCCACAGGTGAGCTTGTCCCAGGCTCAGCACATTGCCTGCTTTCTGGGGAAGTGCCTTCCCTAACTCTTGGGCTGCTGCCAGGGGAGATTGAGACACTTTATAGATGTCATCGGCATGGGAGCAGCCCTGCTTCCTGGATTCTGGCACTGGAGGGGATGGTGCCCAGGGTGCCCTCCAGCTCAGCCTTCTTTCACCCAATGGGGGGACCTTATCTGCCCATGGAGCAGAGACCAGTCCAGGCTGGCAATCTGTGGTCTGCATACAGTCATTCTGGTTGCTAAAATACTGAAATATTCACTTCTGGTTGGTAGATATCCTCTACCCCACATCCCACAGATATATCTGCCACCGCACAAATCCGTCCCCTTGGGACACCTCAAACTGCCCCACATCTCAGCAACTAAAAAGGGGCTCCAGGACTCTGACCCAACCTTACAGCTGTGGCTGCTCATGCAGATGGTACCTGAATGTGTTGGCTATTAGACTGGATCTGGGGACAGCCGGGGTCTGGCTGAAGTTGGGAGGTTCACATCAGGCAGCTGAGGGCTTGAGGGAAGAGTTGTATCTAGGAGTGCCCAGAACTGGAGGCTTGAAGTACTAATAACAGTGACAGTAATGATTAACATTAACATTCATGGAGTAGATACAGGGTGCCAGGCAAGCATTAGTCTAAAAGACCTCACAAACTTCACAAAATGCAGACCATACAGCAGCCTGGCCTCTGTTCCTGTCCCAGGACCCACAGTCTGCTCCATGCCCAGCCAGAGGGAGCCCTGAACACCTGAGTCAGATGGAGGCCCTGCTGGCTAAGAGCCTCTTCTGGTCAGGATTGTCCCTGGCTCTGTGGCTTCAGCCGCCGTGAGGCCTGGCGCGCTGGCAGGACCTGCAGGGCCTGTGAGGTCTGTGCTCACTCCAGACCTGGTGGTGGGGTGGCGGTGTGTTGGTTCTTCAGCACCAGGGCTCGGCCAGTGCGTGGGCAACAGCTGCCATTAGCATCCAGTGCTGCCCTGGCCTGGACTGGGCCCTGAACGTCCCCGACTCCAAATCCCCTCCCCCCACAGATGGGCCACGCTGTGCCTGTCCCATGACCAGCATCCAGTTTCCCCTTTTCTCTCCTGAGCCAGGCCCAGGGAGCTATGGGGTGTGACGCCTAGACGGGGGAGGGGGCTTCCTGATGGTGGCCCGTCCCTCCCCAAGTGCTGCAACCTCAGGTTCCTCCTTCCCTTGCCCCAGGCGGGCTCCTGCTGAAGGCTAGAAGTCCTGTCTCTTCCTGGGTGGCCTTCCCCAGTCCTCACTTCCGCCTATTTCTTCATTTGTTGGGGCAGCCCTGGCCTGCCCAGTGGTTGCCACGTTGTTGGCCACCTGCCTCACCTCAAACCCCACCCTGTGTCTGTGCCTTGTGCATCTGTGTGGTACTCTATCCCTCTCCCTCTTTCTCTGCCAGGCCATCGCTTTCTCCTTCCCTGTCTTTCATCTCTGCTCTTTTTTCTTTCTCTCTAAGGGTCAACTCTCTGTCTTTGGGTCCTGGGTTCCTTTCCCATCTTTATTTGCTGTGTGACCTTGGGCAGATATCTTTGCCTTTCTGTGAAATGAGGAGTGTTGTGGGGTTAAATGAATTACTTGTCGTTAGTGCCCATATACTGATAGCTTTCTTTTAATATCCTGCGAATATTACAAGGTTCTGATTATTAAATAATTATAGCTGGTGCTTATAAAAAGCTAACAATTGTCAGATCCTGTTCTAGAAATATTAACTCGTTTGATCCCCACAAAAACCTATGAAGTAGTACTGCTTTACCCCCCATTTTACAGATGAGGAAAAAAGTCCAGAGAGGTTGAGTGACTTGCTCAAGGTTGCCCAGCCAAGAAGACACAGAATTGGCTTTAGTCATCATCAGCCTCTGACCTTCCGGTTATAATGTCTGACCCCAGATTGAGAGTGGAGACGGAGTTGCCATGTGTATCCTTTGCCCTTCCTGTCCAGTCACTGGGGGCTACAGCATGGCCCCGGGGGTGTCTGGGCCTTATTCCTTCTGGTGTTATCTGTCTCTGTCCCTCCTCCCCTATTGTCCCCTCCTCCTCCTCCTGCCACCACCCACCTCAGACTTCCTCCTTCACTTGGTTGGACGCTACACCACATCCCACTGGGCCTTGGACTGTGGGGTCCAGCAGTGTCTCCTGCGTCATGGGGGAACGTGGACCCCCTAGCAGGCTCCTGCTCCTGCCTTTCCTTCTGACTGTGGGTGGTGAGTTTGGGGCTTCTGCAGCTCCCTCCAGAGTCCCGGGGCTCAGTTTGGGGCAGGGCAGGGAGAAGGGTGGAGAGACCTGAAGGAGAGGGTTGGGATGCAAGCAGATCCCCAGCACCCTCAAGCCCTATGGATCTCTCCCAAAACCCGAACCCCCAAGATTTGGCCCCCGTAGAAGCAGGGGGAGGAGACTCTAAGGGTATTGCAACAGGACAAGTCAGTGCAGAAGTAGCACAGTCCAGTGGCCTTGATGCCAGCCCGCAGGTCCCACTAGAGGTTGCTCTTCACCCTTGCTTCCTGGCTGTCAAGACCGACCTTCCCCAACTTCTATGCCCACTCTCCAGTCATAGCCCGTGCCTCAGTTTACCTTCTTTTTCTCTCCTCAGGTCTCAACCTTGTCCAGGCCCAGAGCGGTAGGCCTAGATCCTGCAAGCCTCTTACCTGTCTTCCAAAGACATCCCCATCTCTGTCCCTTCCTCTATCTTTCCAAACCTCCCCCACTGACACCTCTTCCCAATTCTCAACTCCTACTGACCTCTCCTGACCCCTGTGCCACATTCCCAGAATGCAACTGCTCTGTGGTGAGCCCTGGTGTGCTGGCAGGGATTGTGCTGGGAGACCTGGTGCTGACCCTTCTCATCGCCCTGGCAGTGTACTCCCTGGGCCGGCTGTTCCCTCGGGGGCGAGGGGCTGTGGAGGGTGAGTGGGGCTGGCAGGGGATGGCCTGGGACACTCTGAGGACTGGCCTGGAGGGGAGAGGTAAGCTCCCAGGTCACAACCATCCAGAGGACAGTGATGGAGGGGTTGATTTTGCATCAGCAAAATGGCCCTAATTTGCCGCCTTGTCTGTCCCTGCACCCTGTGCCGCTCCCTTTCCCCCAGCAGTGACCCGGAAACAGCACGTAACTGAGACAGAGTCGCCTTATCAGGTGAGAAACCAGCTTCTTTTTCACATCTCACTCCTGACCAGTGGGTGTCTCTCTTAAACACCCCCAGTCCCTTCACAACCCAGACCCTAAAGCCACTTTCTCAGGAGCTCCCTGAACGCTTGGAGACTACTGGGGCATCTGTCGAAAACTGCTTTCAGTGATCAAACAGGACTTGTGTTCAGCGTACAATGTGTGAGGAAATAGCCTGGCCTTTGCAAAGGCCAGTGCAGACGTTCATCAGAGGGCCGGCTCTGGATTGCTCTGGAAAAGCCTGACCCAGGGCAGGCTGATTTCTGGGAGAAGCTTTCACAGGGGCAGAGGATATAATGCAGCTCTAGTCTGGCAACTCTAAAGGGAGGAGTTCTGGAATTGGACGGAAGGGATCCAGCTTCCCTTTGAGAAGCTGACAAAAGCTAGGGACTCCTCAGAAAAATCCACACCCACAAATTACGAAATTGTCCATATAATTTAGGGGTGGTATGAGGATCCTTGAAACCTTTCTTAAGGACCATGATGCAGATAGAGGTGTCTCTAGCTCTGAGAACCAAATGGAAGCCAAGCCGACCGTTTTCCACAAAGATGCAGACAAAGACCCATCATTGGTATATTTCAGGGATTTTGCCTGAGGGCTGCTTCTTGGGGCCATAGACCCTCCCACAGTTTTGAGCCCTGCTCTGTGAAGTCTGTTTTACATCTGCAACCAGCTCTGTTTTGCCCCACTTGTGGATAGAAAGTCTCTTTATAAAGCGTAAGAATCTTGAGTTTGATTCTATGAGGTCCCAAAGACTGAGGGGCTTTCTAGTTACAGGGGGCAGTGAAATTTTAGGGCAAGCATTACTTTAATTTTTCATCTCTTCGTTGGAATTAGTTGAGCATTCATATGGGCTGGATGCTGGCCCACAGCAGCAGAGCTTATGCCCCAGCTGGGGAGATGGACTTGAAGCAAATTACCAAGATCATTTTTGGGAAGCAGTAAATAAAGCAAGCTAATGTGACAGTGACTGAGGTATAGGGGGAAGAAAATATAGATGGGGAAATCAAAAAATGCCTCTCTGAGGAACTGATAGTGAGCTGAGACTTGAAGGGGGAGAAAGAACCATCCTTATAAATATATAGGGACCAGTGTTCCAAGCAGAGAGAACAGCGTGTGCAGAGGTAAGGAGGCTGTGGCCAATGACAAGGCAGAGGAGAGGGGAACACTGAAGGTACTTGAATAAAATCCAGATCTCTTCCATGGCTGCAAGGTTGAAGAAACTGCCAGGGGATTTGCAGGCCAAAGGCTGGAGTTTATTGGTGGACCCCTTCCCCTAACAGTTCGGACACTACCCATCCCTTTAGGAACTCCAAGGTCAGAGGTCAGATGTCTACAGTGACCTCAACACACAGAGGCAGTATTATAAATGAGCCCAACCCATGGCAGTCAACAACCTGATGCCTGGATCCTATGACTCCTGATGCCTACCCACCACCCTACTCCTACTCTCACCAAGATGCAGATCCACAGAGTGCTCTCCCTGAGATATCAGACCTCCCTCCACCATTGCCCCCAAATAAACACGGAGCACAAAAACACTGTTGAGTTATTTCAGATCCCTGGACTGAGGGGATGGGGATATGCGGGGTTCTGGTGGGTTGGGGGTCATGGGCCCAGAAACAGTAAATGGGAGGGAGGCTTTGAGGACCCTAGGGTTCCTTGAGGAAGAATTAGAACTAGAAAGATTTTAATTGCTTTATTCCAACCCTAAGGTGGGAGGGGGTTTCTTGTGCCACCACACATAATCCAGGATGAGAGGGTTAGAAGTCAAAGGTCAGTTACAGGGGGTCAGCCCCTGCCAGGCATGTTGATGTAGACTTTGCCATCTTCTGGGGGTGGGGGAAGAAAGCACATGAGGCCTGACCACCCACATCCCTACCTCCCTGGGGACCCCCTGCCTCAGGGGTTTCCTCAGGAGTTCCCCCAAGCACTGCCCCCAGGGTTTCCCCAGCACCTCCTCCAGGGCTTCCCTGGGAGCCCCCTTCCTGGGGACCTCCTCCCTAGGGACACCCCCCACTCCAGTCCCACCCCGCTCCTGCCCTCACCTTGGGTGGGCCTGCCACGGGGGCGTGTGCACACACACACCACAGCCACAATGAGCAGTGACAGCACAGCATCAGCAGCCAGGAGGCCAGCCAGGAGTGGCAGGGACAGGGGCCCACATCCGGAACAGGAACCTGGAGGGTGGGAGTCAGGACAAGAAGGCTGTTGAGGGGTGGTTCCAGATCCTTGAGGCTGTGCTTTGGGCAAATGGGCAGAGGGAGTCCCCAAGGGGCATTCTAGATTCCCTGGAGTTGTGCTTGGGGGGTGAAAGGGGAGACAGAGACCCAGAGGGAGGTGGGGGTATCCCAGCATATTGAGGCATCCTGGGTTTTGGGCATGGTGGGTGCTCCCAAAAAGAGGCTAGGGGCAAGGGGGCAAGACCCTGGGGCCTCAGGTGGGTGATGAGGGTGGTAAGATAGGGACACGAAGAGGGCTGCAGATCCTCTGGGGGCTCCAGTTTGGGGATGAGAAGTGATGGTGACCTGGAGAGTAACTGGGGGTGTCCCAGGACCTCAGGCCATACGGTGGGTACCAGACGGAAGCAGTGCCCAGGATGGCATGACAAAGGGGAAGGATTTCTCAAATGACAAAGGTGTTGATTTCTCACCTGGGGTTATCTGAGCTGCAGCCACTTAGGAAAGAGAGGGAAGGTGCATCAGCGGGTAGAGGTGGTTCCTAAAATAGGGTGCAGGGAAAAGAGGTATCCTGAGAAGTAACCTCCCCTCTGGAGATACCAAATGAAACAGGCCAGATGGGAAGCAGAGCTCCCAGAGAAACAGAGACAGGAAACCAGGGGCAAAGGAAGAGACCCAGCAGTGAGAGGGGAAGATTAATAGGCAGCCACTCCAGACACAGCTTCCCTCCCCAAAGAACCAGGGCCTACACTGAATGTATCTCCTGGAAGGAAGGGGCCCTGGGGGAAAGACCTGCCCTCAGCACCCCTCCCTTCAGAAGCCATCCAAGCTGCCCCTTTCTCAAATACTCTGCCTGCCAGCCCCACCCCCACCCCGTAAAGGCTGGCTTCACCTGGGAGCAAGAGCAGAAGCAGGATGTCGCCTGGAGGGCCCATGGCGGGATGGGGGCTGGAAGGGGCCTGGTAAAGGGCTTTGGTCCAGAGAAGTCCTGAGGAGCAGTGGGGGTGTAGAGAGACAGCAACAGCGGATGTCACCCTGCTGCTGGCAGCCACCTGCTTCCTGTGTATGTGCGTGGGAGGGAGAGAGGTGGTGAGTCCCTATGACTACCTTTGGGGACAAACTCGGGGGAGAGTAAGAGGGACCAGGAAGGCTGCTATGATTGTCCAAGTGGGAGGTGACAGGTGGACCAGCATATGGGAACTGGGGAGATTCTGGAAAGATTTAGAGGTACAGCCAACAAAATCTACAGATGGAGTGGATGTGGGTGCGTATGAGAGAGAAGGACCCAGGATGGCCAAAGCTTCTGGCCTAAGCAACTTAAAAAATGAAGCATCCTTTGACAGAGATGGAAAATGAGGGGAAGCAGATTTAGGGCAAAAGTGTCATAGCTGGGGCACCCTGAGTTGGACAAGTTAGAGGACAGGTTGAATGACCACAGCTGCATCCATGAATTCAGGGGATCAGTCTGGTCTGGAGATGTAAATTTGGGGTGTGATGGCTTTAAAGCCATGAGACTGGATGAGATCACGAAGGAAGTGAGTACAGAGGAGTGACACATACCCCCCACCCCCACCATGGGTGAAGAGGAGGAAACAGCTAGAGAAACGGAGAAGGAGCAGCAAATGAGGGAGGAGAATGAGAGAGCATGGAGTCTTGAAAGCAGGGGAGCAATATGATTAATGTGATCACCAAGACAGGAACTGAGAATAAGCTGCCTGCCCTGGAATGTCAGTTGGCTTGAAGGCTGGGAATTCCTATCTGGTTAGTTCACAGCACCCAGCAAAACGCCTACCATGCAGTAATAAATGATGTTTAATGATAAATGAAGAAATGACAACTGACTTCTGTAAAAGGAGGAGATGATGTGGGGAAAATGGAGAAATTTTGAGTCCATCTATATCATTCTTACCCACAGACCTTTCCTCCCGCCAGACCAGGAAGTCCAGACCTCCACCCCTTCCTAGCCAGGGCCCAGGAATAGAGGCCACCTGCATGCACCCCCTTGGTCAGAGCCAGAATTCCAGGCCCCCAGTGCTTTGCTCCATCCACTAGGTAGTCCACTACCCCAGGCTCCTTCTCTCTCAGAGCAGAGATGGGGCATCCAGCTCCCTCTCCAGGGAGACCCATGAGTAGGGCCCTGAAAGTCAGCCCCGCCCATTCAGAGCGGGGTTTGCTTAAGCGTGACGCGGGGACTCCCGGGCCTGTGGGCGGGGCCCTGACTAGGACTGGGCGTGGCCAGAACTCCAGTTTAAAAACTAGCGGGGCCGCCGACCCTAGATCGGGGACCCGGCGGCGGCTCCGCGGGGAAGCAGCGAGGCTGGCGCAGCGCCGAGGCCGGGGCCCTGGGGGCCCGCAGTCCGCGCCACGGAATCCCCGAGGTAATGTAGGGGTGGGGAAGTGAGCTACGCTCGGCCCCCTAAGAGTGAGGGTCTGGGAATCTGAACTTCAGGCCCTGAAGGACGGAGCTGGAGCATCAAGTCCTAGGTCCTGAGAGTGAGGGTACCCGGTATTTGGAGGGGCCCGGGGATCCGGAATCCTGAGTCCCGGGAGTGAATGGGCTGGGAGTTCGGAAAGAACGGGCTGGCGGCCCGGACTCCTAGCTCTAGAAAGAGCGGATTGAGTCCGTGGGGGCGTGGTTGTTTGAAATCTGCCCCTGGTCTCTGTGGGGGCGGTCCGGTGCCTGGCCGCAGGGGTCCCTGCTGGCCTTGACCTTGTCCCCGCCCTGGGATTTCCCGAGTCGCCACCCGTCCCGGGTACCCGGCCTAAGCAGGAATTCCCCGCGTGCGGGGATTCCACGAGCACCACGCTTGGCCGCGCGCCCCGCCTCCGAGCCGGACACCTGAGGCGCACCACCCGGAGAGGAAGGGGTAGATGGAAGATTCCCTTGGGTGAGCGCCGTGACGTCAGCGCGTCGCGTCTGGGCAGTTTCCGAGACGGCCCTCCCCCGCTTAACCCTTCCTCCGCCGGAACCCGGGCTCGGAAGGGTGAGGGTTGAGGGCTCGGACGTGCGAACGAAGCGATTGGAAACTGGGACTCCCAGGTCCTGGGGAGGAGGAGGTTGAGGGCCCGGACTCCTGCACTCCTGCGGGATGGGGCTGGACTCCTGTGCTTGAAGGGATGGCCGAGTTTGGATCTCCCAAGCCCCAATCAGCTACGGGCCTATTGATTCCTCGGGAAGAGGGGCTGGGACTCTAATCCCTGGTTTCCCGTGGAAAGAGTTTCAGATCAGCTTCTAGGGCAGAGAGAAGGTGGGAACCTGGATGTGCGTTTCCAGGGAATGATGCCCGGCGATCCCCGAGGCTTTAGGACTGCGAGATCTGGGGGGTGGGATTTTTCACGGAAGTGGTGGTGGTGGTGGGTGCAGCAGAGGGGCGCCCTCCTCCTCCTTCCTCAGTTTCCACGACGCTGGTGGAAAGTTGGGTCAGAGGGGAAAGTGCGGAGCAAAGGGAAGGAAACGGCGGAGGCGGGCGCCGCACCCAAAATCTTAGCTTGGCCTTGGAGTTCTCAGGTGGCATCAGTGTGCCAGTTTTTCCGCGCGGGAGGGCGAAGAGTGCTCCCAAAACCCCTCCCCGGCGCCGTCTAGTGACTTGAGGACGCCTGATTACTTATTTTCCCTCTCCTCCTGCAGTGAGCCGGAGTGAACGCAGCCACTGCCCATCACAGACCGTGAAGAAGCTCCTGGAAGAACAGAGGCGCCGCCAGCAGCAGTCTGACGCTGGTGGGGTACCGGTGAGGCCCGTAAAGCCCTGTAAACTACAACTCTCATGAGGCTATGGCCCGTTGGGCAGGGACTTGCAGGTTTACCGGGCCCTCAGGGCTGATGAGAGATGAAGTCTTGACTTAGATGCGCTATAGGTGGGGAATGGATGCTGCAGAATCTGTCAGATAAATTCAACCTTGTTCTTTTTTGTTTCTGCTTCTGCAGGGACAGTTCCCGCTGCCTCTGGCCCAGCCCCTGACCCCATCTGTGAATGAGGGTGAGGCTGGTAAGTCTGGAAACTCACCTAGTTCCCTCAGCAACCAGTCCCAGTTTCCCTCAGGGACTCAAACATCCCAACTCTGAGTTTGGGAACTAAGGAGTTAGTCCCTCATTCTTGCTGGGACCTAGTAGAATTTTGATCTCCCAGTTTCCCTTGAGCCCAGCAATCTATGCACATAGTCCTTTGGTGTCACAAGCACCCAAGGTTCCCAGCCTTTTGGTGCTCTAGGAGTCTAAGCCCTCAACCCTGCAGTGTCCCAGGAGTCCAAGCTTCCAACCCCTTGGTGTCCCAGGATTTAAGATCCCAGCCCCACGGTGTCTTAGAAGTGCTAGCTCTCAGTTCCTTGGGTGACTCCAGGCCCTCAAACAGGTCCTCCAGCCTCAGTCATGACTTCCCCAACTCTGGTAACAGGCCTGGTCCTGCGCCTCCTCTTATATGCAGGCCATACTCACTTCCCAGCACATCAGGAGACTGTGGGTTCTGGACTTGGCAGCCTGGCCCCCACCACAGCCTTTCCAGACTGGGACCCCAACACGCATGCTGCCTGCACAGACAGCCCTTATTCTTACTCTGCTTCTGCTGCTGAAGGTGTCCTGACTTCTGACTTCTACCCACCCTTGGACTCAGGGTGGCCATGTCCATTTCCCCTGGGGATGGAGGTGAGACACAGAATGGGAACAGGATGCTGAAGGGCCCCTAAAATCCCAGTTGCCCTTTTGCTGGATTAAGATCCCATTCTTCAGATGGGCAAAACTGAGGCCCAAAGGTCCAAGGTCACTTGGCATAGATGGGATGCAGGTGCTGTGTATGTGTTTGTGTGTGTGGTGGGTTGAGAAGAGGGAATCCTCAGCTGACTAGCTGTCCCCACTGCTTGTACCCTTCAGGAACCCTTGGAGACCCGGCTTTATACAGAACCTTCCCTGCCACAGGCAGGATCCTGGAGAGGTTCTGGACTCCCGGCAGGACCCCCACAGTTGACTCCTGTGGTCCCTGGACCAACCCTGGAAACAGCCCGTGCTCACATGCTGGCTTTGGGGCTACAACAGCTACTGGCCCAGGATGAGGAGGGAGACACGTGAGTATAAGGTCATGGAGTCTGAGAGTTCCCGGCTCAGCTGGGATGCTATGCTCACTGCGCCCCCTACCTGCTCTCAGGCTCCTGCACCTGTTTGCTGCTCGAGGGCTGCGCTGGGCGGCGTATGCTGCAGCTGAGATGCTCCAAGTGTACAGACATCTGGACATTCGTGAGCATAAGGGCAAGGTGAGGGTCAGGGGCCTGGACTCCCAGACCTGAGGGCAAAGGGTCTGGGGGCCTGGATTTCGGGTTTTCAGAGCTAGGGGCCTGGGGGCTCAGACTGACCTTTTCTGCCCCTTGCAGACCCCTCTCCTGGTGGCTGCCGCTGCCAATCAGCCCCTGATTGTAGAGGATCTCCTGAACCTGGGAGCGGAGCCCAATGCCACTGACCATCAGGGACGTTCTGTTTTGCATGTGGCCGCTACCTATGGGCTTCCAGGAGTCCTCTCGGTATGGCCAGCTGGCAGGTGGGGTGAATGGGATGGACTGGTTGCCCAGATCCTGGCTTCTAGGACTAGGAGAATTAGAGAGATGCTAATCCATCATTCTGCTTATCTTCCTCCCAGGCTGTGTTTAACTCAGGGGTTCAGGTTGACCTAGAAGCCAGAGACTTTGAGGGTAAGTTGGGTGGTGGGCAGGACAGGTGTGGCAGTGGGGTTGGGTGCTCCAGATGCAGAGTCCTCACTCTTTCCATTCTGCAGGCCTCACCCCGCTCCACACAGCCATCCTGGCCTTCAATGTTGCTATGCATCCACCTGACCTATGTCCCCGGGTGCTAAGTACCCAGGCCCGAGACAGGTTGGCTTGTGTCCAAATGCTGCTGCACATGGGTGCTGATCACACCAGCCAGGTGAGCTGGGCCATGGGCAGCTGGCCCCTAGGAGGGTGTGTGGTAGGGGGGCACTTGGATGTCCAGGTGCTCCAAACAAACGCTGAATTTGTTTCTTCCCAGCTGTGTGACCTTGAGCACAAAACTTCTCTGTGTCCCAGTTGTCAACTAGGAATAATATTACAGATCTTAGCTTATATTTATCAAGTACTTCCTATTCATTGAGCACTGAAATTCATGGATTAGCTAATTGAATCATCACAAACAAGCTTTGGCTTGTGTGCTATTATAATTTTCTCTGTTCCTTGATAAGGTAACTGAGGCACAAGGAGTCAAAAATCTTATAGTTTGTGAGAGACCCAAGTGGTCTAACCCCAGAATCCAGCTCTTAGCAATCATATTATACTTCCTTATCCTGACAACAGCCTCCCAGGCTGGCTGAGAATTAAACAGCCGCTTACTGTTTTGTTTTGATTTTTAGTTAAAGAATTTTGAACACAGATAAAGTACAGAAAATAATGTAATGAATTCCCTGTACCCAATAGCCAGCAACTCATAGCCAACCCTGCCCCATCTATTCCTCCACTTTCCTACATTGTTTTAAAGCAAATTGAAGCATATAACTATCTATAAATATTTGTTTTTTTAAGACATAAGAACTCTTTTAACATCAGCAACACTATTCCACCTTAAAAAAATTAACAGTCTCATAATATCAAATATCTTGGCTGTGTTCAAATTTCTGTTTGGCTCTCAGGTGACATTTATTTTTCATTTAAAAAAATGAAACAGGGATCCAAATAAAGTCCACATACTGTGATGATATGACATTTGAAGTCACTTTTCATTTAGAGCCTACCCCTGTACCTCTTTGTCTTCTCTTAATTTATGTGGTGAGCCAACTAAGTTGTTTTGCCCCATATTAACACATACAATTTTTGATCTTCATGATCATTACAAACTCTTGAAAGGCACATAATAAAGTTCCATTGTGGGAAATGTCTTTGCTTCAAAATATGAAGAGAACAACTCAATATGGAAGTAGATATAGGCTTAGTTTGTACACTGATTAATGCTGCTCAGCTCCCATCCTCGTAGATCAAGTATTGTCATTGTGGGATGTGGGTGCATTGTACTCTGCTCAAAAAAATACAGGGTGGCCAGGGTACCTGCTAGTCCAAAGAACTCCTTTGGAAGATTAGATAAGGAGCCTTTTCCTCAAAGGCACTTGGGCCTGAAAATTGTCATAATGTAGAGTCGTGTGATACTTACGATGTGAATGACACTCTCTTAAATGTGGTACTTTTGTACAGTCTACAACACAACTGTATAAGGCATCCTTGGGTATTTCCAAAGGACAGACAGGGTTTCTAAAGGCCCTTTGGTTCCAAGCGAGGGGGCCTGGGTGTGAGGACTGGCCTGACCTCTGCTGTTTCCCTCCTTACAGGAAATCAAGAGCAACAAGACAGTTCTGCATTTGGCCGTGCAGGCTGCCAACTCAACCCTGGTTCAGCTGCTGCTGGAGCTGCCCCGGGGAGATCTGAGGGCCTTTGTCAATATGAAGGTGGTGTCTAGGATGGAATGTGCAGATTGTGTGAGATAGGGTGGCGAAGGTCAGGGGCATGTTGGGAACGTTGACGGCTCTGGCTGTGGAAGGAATAACGTATGGGACATGGACAGAGACTGTGTAGGATGTGAACATGAACTGGGGGGATGTATAGAACATAGGCAGAAGGGTGTGAGGAATGTGGCAGTGGAGGGGTTCTGGGATGTGAATAGTCATATGGGATGTGAAGGCATAAGTGTGGGTGATGTTGAAGGCTCAGGCCAGCTGCATCTGAATCCTTATCAGTCCTCCCCACATTGGCCCCAGGCCCATGGGAACACAGCCCTCCACATGGCAGCTGCCCTGCCCCCTGGACCGTCCCAGGAGGCCATTGTGCAGCGCCTGCTGGCAGCTGGGGCAGATCCAACACTGCGCAACCTGGAGAATGAGCAGCCTGTCCACCTGCTGCGGCCCGGGCCGGGCCCTGAGGGGGTAAGCACTGAGCCCACCCTGACTGTAGGGGGGGGTCTCTGACCTAATAGGGTGAACCCTGAACCCACCCATTCCTGACTTCAGAGGGTGACTTACAATCTCAGAGGGTGATCTTGACCCCTCCCTAACCCTGACTTCAAAATATGACCTCTGACCCATGTTTGATCCCTTACCTTGTAATGGTGATTTCTACTTTGACCCTGACCTCAAAATATGACCTCATGTTAACCCAGAATCCTGACCTCAAAGTGTGAGCTCTGATCCCAAGTGTTACCTCCAACCTCCTACCCCTAACCTCAAGTCCTGACCTCAGAGTGGGACTTCTGACCCCTGTGTGTGGCCTTTCTGTTCCAATCCTCAATGATAACCCCAAGATGGGAACCCCCAATCAGAAACACCTTTCCCTTCATCCCCAGTTCTGGCTGCTGGGCTTTTTCTCAGTTTATGAACCCAAACCTTCACCACCAACCCCACATCTTGCCTCAGCCTCTGACCTTCAAACCCAATCCACTCCACTCAGCTTCTCGTTTCTAGCTGCCCACTTCACAGGCTGTATCTCCCCTACTGCTTCTTCCATCCACTCAGACTTCTTCCCCTGCTTTGTCTTGTCTGCAGCTCCGGCAACTGTTGAAGAGGAGCCGTGTGGCACCCCCAGGCCTGTCCTCTTAGGACTCAAATCCAGAACCTGGACTGATTTTCCAGTCCCCACCGTCCTGTGGGACAGCCAGCGTATGCTAATATTGCAAATCCATGATAATATATGTGGAATGTCCTGCCATTGGGGTCTTACATTAAAACCCCAAAATGGCCACTGGGGGGTAAACAGTCCCCAATATTTGGGGTGGTGCGATACCCCTTCCCCACCTACAAGGAGCCCCCTTGATGATTTCTGTGAAATTGAGGCCCCTTGATTGTTTCTGTGAAACACCCTGGACCCTTTCCCCTCTGGGAATTTTGGGATCCCCTCCCTTAACTGAGCTCTTCACACCTGGAACTCCAGATGTGATTCCTCTATATGGCACTTGGGGCAACCCAAAACAGCTCCCAATGTCATCCCAGTAGAGCTCCTAAGATGACCCCTGACCCACACTCTTCAAGTCCTTAACCTGAGACCAGAGGGACTTGCCTAGATTTGAGTCCCCAGGTCCTACTGCTTTCTAATTCAGAACCCAACTGGGCCCATGTCCCAGATCTCAGCATTTCCAGTGAATTCCTCCCCTATCTGAAACTCCCTATTAAACTCAATTTGGACTCGAATGGTCATTGTCTAATCTCTGGGGGCATTGGTACAGGGAGTAGCTGGGGTGCCTGGCCGAAGAGTCGTGTGTGGATGAATGTGCCCAGGTGGGGTGTGTGGTGGGCACTGTGGGTGCCAAGTTCCTGTCCTGTCACCACCTGATCAACACCTGGTGGTCTGCCAGGACCAGCACACAAATCTTTGCCTGTGGACATTATCAGATCACTGGTGCCCACTCTCCCCTCAGTATGAGTGTGGCAAGGCTTAAATGTCAGAGTTTGCCACTTTCCACTCCAACAACCCTCACCCAGTGACTGAAAGGAGATGGTACATAAACGCTCCAGGTCCCTCACCTCTCTGTGGATAACTCGAAAGTGCATGCTCTGCGTGGGCTCTCAAAATGCCCCAATGGATTTGAGCCCCAGTTCCCTGCAGTGGTTCTGGCTTGATAAGATACCCTTCTGGCTGCTTTCCCTCTTCTGCCTCCCCTGCCAATGTTCTGCAGCCCTTCCAAATAATTTTATTGTCAAATCCTTGCCTCAGTGTCTGCTTCTGGAGAAACCCGAACTGAGCCAGAAGACCTCCACAGTGCCCTCTTCTCATAATTGCCCCACAGCCTCTGCTCTGCCCTTCAGCCCAATCTCATGTCCCAAAGAGGCCTCACCCTAGAAGGCCCTCTGACCCACTGTAGTCTCCCACTGCTTGGAGCCTCTTGTGGACAGCAAACCAAGCACACTTTGAGACATGCACCAGTGTCTCCCTAAAACTTCAGGCTTAATCTGGGCATTCTGCATGTTCATGACTGCAATCTGGGCAGGACACAGCCAGGCAGTTTTCTGCTTTGGTTGCTCATTTGGCTGCAGTTAGTGGAGGGCCCGTTGGGTTGGACAGCTTCACTCACATAGGTCTGATGGCTCAGCTGAGGTGGCCAGAACTGCTGAGTGGGCTAAGCATCTCTCCAAGTTGTCTCTCCAGAAAGGCAGGTAGATCTCTTCACATGTGGCTCCAAGACTCTTCTGAGAGAACAAGCACCTGCCTACATCAAGCTCGCTGACATCCTAGTCATGTGGGCAGGCCCAGAATCAGTGGGCAGGAAGAGGGCACCACACAAGGGCTTGAATATTGGGAGGAGAAGTCATCAGAAACCATCAGTGTAGTCTCCCACATCAGCTGCCCTGGAGCAGCAGATATGGGGTTTTCTGTATATTCATAGTGGCAGATGACCCATGAAGAATTCATAGGAATGTGTTGTATTTCATTGGTTCTAAAAAGAACTTAATTGGATTTCATCTTAACAGTCAATTGTGTGGCATAGTTTAATTTCTGTATTTTTTCCTGTGTGATACATAAGAGAAAGATATTTCTTATTACTGGTGGCATCTTAGATTCTTTTGACATATAAGATGTATATCCTGACATGTATCAACACACACATGTGCACACACACACCAACATGATAAAATGTCTCTAAGGAACTTCACATTATTAAAAGAAGAATTAAATTGTTTTCAATGGGAATTGAAGGGTGGCTTAAGGGCACAAGAGCATCAAATGATCAATAACAAAGTTATTTTTCCTGCTGGAAATTCAATAACAGTGTTTAAAAATTACTCCAACTATTGCCATTAAAATGTAAAACATCATTAAGGAATCACACACTGAGCACAGTGAGCAAAATGGTATTTCATTTCCTGTCCACAGGCTTGGAGCTCCTTACCCATAGTTAGCCTGTTGGTCGCCCGTGGCTGTGAAAACACAAAAGCAGCTTTTTCCCCTACCTGTGGAGCTAGGCATAGATTTCTGTTAGGATTGTGAGTACAACTGAATGTATAACCAGTTGATCAGAATGACATTGCAAACTGAGTTGTCCAATGAAGCTGTGGCATTATATCCAACTTGCATTGGAAAAGCATCTTCCTTCCAATACCTACTATATGAATATACATTCTATATGAATATACATGACCTGTATTTACATGTGTATATTATAAAGAGCCACTGTGAGCTGAGGCCCTTCAAGTAAATTAAAATTGGGTGTTCCCTCCTAAACCATCTGTCAGATAATCCTGTTATGCTGACATTAGAACATGACACATTACTGCCTTCTGCTGGGAAATTGTGGTAAAGATGCACATTTGCGATGTCTAGGTGGTGACTCACTTGTAATTTTGTAGTGCACAACCTGAACACCATCTGGGACAAGCTTGAATTATTAGGACAGCAGGTGAGAAAAATGGCCAGGTGTATTGGTGCTGGAGCCATGGAACCTGGGCTGAATCCCTAGCTCTGCCCCTTCCTAGGTGCTGACCTTGGGCATGTGATATAACTTCTCCTTAACTCCATTTCCTAACCTATAAACAGAGATAGTTATAGTAACTATTTCGGGGAAGGGGGGGTAGAAACAATGACGCAGTGTGCCAGTGCATGTAAAGTCCTTGAAGCAGTGCCTGGCACAGGGTGAATTCCAGGAGTGTTTAAATTTTATTCAACAAATATTTGCAAAGTGTCAGACACAGTTCTAACATCTCCACAAATAACAACCTTTTTAATCCTCCTAACAACCCTCTTGGGATGGGTAACAGCATATGTAGAGGGCTAACTCCAACGTCAAAAAATGGGACATGTGAGGGTTTAAATTCCAATAGGTGCTTGCAGACATCACATACCTTTCTGGAACAAGAAGTCTCCCCAGGGGGATTCCTATTGTCACCCCAGGAAGGGATGAAGACTTGGGAATGGGAAGAGCGGTTCAATCCCAGTCCCTCATTGGGCTTGCAGGTTGGGGTGTGTGCTGTGTGTGGTCGTGTGTGAGGGCGAATAAAAGGCAAGGGCAACTTGCTAGAACCCAGCCCCCTCGGAGTCCACCCTGGGATCCAGCAGATAGAGACCTACAAGTCACAGCCCCGTTCAGCACCATGGAAAGCTCCTGGGTGGGCACAGAGAGCCCAGCCAAGGTCTCTGGGCTCCCCGCCTGCACACCAATTTAGGCCCTTCCCCCAGCTCCCCCCAGCTGCCCCCACCCCGACCCAGATTTCAAGATTCTCTCTTATAGTTTAAAGAGGTGGAGGAGTCTTGGCCAGGGGTGCCTACCAGTGTCATGCTATGATTTCACATATTCCCCCACAGAAACAGGATGACCTACCTGGTGGGCAACAGGATTTTATTGGGGTGTTAGTCGGGGCACATGGGAAGGTGAATTCCAGGGAACAACAGGCACTGTGACCAAGTTGGTGGTCACCTTAAGGAACAATAAATTAACTTACAAAATAAATTAAAGTGAGGAGGTCCCAAGCAGGGAGGCAGCTGGGAACACCTGGGGATTTCTTAGGGATGGAATTTGGAATTGGAAAGGGAAATAAGAATTTCTAACCCCCTCACAAAGAATATGAAATGAAGTTTTGCAAGACCTTTACCCAAGGGTGGGAGTTGAGGTTCTGGGGCTCCAGGAAGAGGGAGGGTCTGGGCTCAGTCAAAGGGGTGAAGGGGGCAGGTTCAGGGTCGTTCCTCCAGGAAGCGGTAGGTGGGGTTCTCATAGCCATGACGCTGTAGTTCACGCAGCTGCTGCTCCTCCAGGGTCAGCATGGGGTCAACCTGCAATGGGGGCAGGGGAGGGGTAGCGGGGCAGAGGGACCTGACCACAGGTCTCACAGCCCCTCCGTGCCCAGGCTCTGGAACTCCTCCCCACAGCATGTCTGTGTCTCTCACCTCCACCACTCCGTGGCTGATAGCCCCATAGGGCTTCTTTCGGCGCAAGAGCAGAATGGAGAGGACAATCAGGGAGCCTCCACCTGCTCCCATGATCAGGAGACCAGACACAGCCTCTCGGGACACGCCTGTCCCAGCAGGGGCCTGCAGGGAGAGGACATGGAGGCAGGGGTCATCTTTGAGGCTCACCAGGGCCCCGTGTGGCTTTGGGAGTCACACCTAGCCACTGACTTCTGACCTCTCCCCTAGGTACTCAGAATATTCTTTCTCTTACCAGCTCATCTCTCTGAATCTCCGATGAGTGGAAAGGAAAACCCCTTGGAACGGACACATTCACCTGGGGGAACAGGAAGTGTCAGACCCAGGAGTGTGGGCCCCAGCCTGATCCTCCCCAGGCCCCAAAAGGACCCTGAAGTCCATGTCCTCAGTCCCTTCTCCCCTCAGGCCCAGGAATCTAAAGTCCTAGCACACTCCTCCTTGAGACCTAGGAGTCCAGATCCTCTCCTATCCCCCTTCAGCACTCACAGGTTTGACTAACTCACCTTTCGCTCATACTGCTCCAGGGGGGACATCTCTTTCACAGGGGATGCAGCATCTTGTTCTGTGGATCGTACCCCCCAAGTCCTGTCTGGTTTCTGAGATTCCAGAGTGGTGCTGCTCCCTCCTGAGGAGGGGGTCAGAGGGGACTGGACTCCACCCCCGGAGGTGTGGGGTTCCCAGTGTATAGCCTCTTTTCCATTCTGGGTTCAGGGACTCAGTGGGGTTTGGTGGCTGGGGCCTACACTGTGAGATACTCACCTTTTGGAAGGGCCATGTGGGTGTCTGTTGGCAGCCAAAGGAGGCAAGACAGGTGGAACAGTGAAGAGAGGAGGGCATCATGGAAGAAAGGTGGAGAAACCCTCCCAAAGGCCAGGAAAGAGGATCAAGGATCCCTCAAATGTCCCCACACCTTAGATATTCCTTCCCATAAGACACCCCCAGACTTCAGGGTATTAGAACTGAGGTTGGGGGCCTGTGCCCCAAAGTCTGGGGTTGTTTGTATTTGAGTTAACTCACCATCCTTGGAATCCAGAGGCTGCAGCCCACCTTTGTCCTCACTGCTGCCCCCTGGCGCAGGGGCTTCCAATTCACTGAGACTCAGGTGTTCAGAATGGAGGAGTTCTTCTGAAGGGAGCATGCAGAAAGGTGGTTGAGATTGAGCATAGGGGCTCCAAAACACAAAATTGGGTGAATGGATGGCACCTTAATAGTAGAGTGATTGAGGGTAGCCATAGTGTGATCTGGGGATGTGGGGAGCTGGAGGCACCCCTGGCAGGGAGGATGGCAGCTCCCTTAAAGATGAGGACATACAGGTGTGGGACATACAGTAGAAAGTCACAAAAATCTGGGGGCTGTGGTAGGTCACACTTTCTGGTACTCATGTGCTTGTGTAGGCTCCTCCCTTTGCATCTGGACTGCGTTTGTGACTTGCTTTGACCAGAAGAAGGTGGGCACAAGCCTTAAGAAGACCTATCAGCTTTCATTTTTGTGCTTTGGGGAGCCTGAACCACCATGTAGGAAGTTCAGGCACCCTGATGGAGAAACCATGTAGAGGGGCTCCAATGGTGAGGAGAGGCCCTGAACTGACATGGAGAGGGAGAGAGGCCCATTGGTGCCAGAGCTCAGCCCCTAACTGATCTGCTAGCCAAATGCAGCCACATACTTGACTGCTGGCAAAACTGGCAGAAGAAACAAACACCCAGCAGAACCTGGACCAGACAGCATAATCATGAGCAAAGAAAATGGTTGATTTACCACTAAGTTCTGGTATTTGTTATATGGGAACAGATCATTGAAATGGTAGGGAGAGACAGATGTTGGGGGTAAGGATCTGCCCTTAGAGATCTGGGACAGGTACAGAAACCAGGGACATAGGCACTCACGGATCTGGGGCCGCAGTTCCTGAGCCAGGTGGGGGTTCTGGTCAAGCAGCCCGAGGCTCTGATTCATCCTTTCCTCGATTACTTGAAGGTGGGTCTGCACCTGTAGGGGAGTGAGAATGAAGAATGAACTGGGCAGCATAGCCTGAAGATGGGGGAAACTCAGGCAGGTGAAGGAAGGGCAAAAGGGTCCAAGGAAAAGGAGCTCATGCAATGGGCAGGAAGCAGGGTACCTGGGCCAGAAGATGGGCCATAAGAGGAAGGAAACTGGAGGAGAAGCAGAATCCACAGAAAAGGAAAAGATGTACAGAAGCCAGGAAATGAGAGGCTTGGGAAAGAAGGTGAGGTAGAAGGGAAAGGAGTAGTCATAAGGAAAAGTGGGGCACAGGCAAAAAGTTAAGAATAGGACACAAGGAATATGGTATAGAAGATAGGACGTGGAGGTCAGTGGGCAGGACGGCAGAAAGCAGGGTCTGAGGAATAGAAAGTGAGGTTTGAGCAGGTTCTGGAAAAGAAAGCGGGATTGGAGGGTCATATAGAAATGATGTGGTTCAAGGACAAGACTTGGAGCTCAAGAGCATAGAATGGAGTATTCATGGACAGGAAGAGAACGTCCAAGAAACAGGAATTAGGATCAGAGGGCAGAGAACTGGAGTTAAAGGGAAAACAAGTGGGGTTAGGAAGAAAGAGTTGAAGGACAAGGAACAGGTTCCAAGCCACAGAAGAAGGATTCTGGGAAAGGAAGAAGGAATCCAAAGGATAGGGAGTGGGGTCAGAGGCATGGGGAGGGGGCAGTAGTCCAGGTCAGGAAGCAGGGATCCAAGGGTCTGGAAAGAGTCCCAAGGCAGAGAAAGGGGTCTCCAGGGATAGGCAGGAAGCCCAAGGGATGGAACGAGGGTCTGAGGGTCAAGAAGCGAGTCTGACAGATGGGGTCCAAGAGGCTGGGGCCTGAGAGAGGGCAGGGTCCATGGGAGCTGGAGGGATCCCAGCACCTGGAAGCGCATCTGCTGGGCCTTCTCAGGATCCACGGCGGCCACATGCTGGTAGTGCCTCAGGGTGTGCCTTTGCTCCTTCTGCTCTGCCCGCAGGTAGCGCCGCAGTGCCAGCAGGATGCGCTCTGCCTGTGGAAGGGATGGACGCTGCCAGGCCTGCCCCAGGCCTTTTCACCCTCTGCCCTCTTCCCCCATGGCTCCCACACCTGAGGCGGGTCCCCTTGCAGAGCCGCCAGGAACCCTTCCAAGGCGGCCCGGCGCTGGTCGTTGATAAGGGCGATGACTCGGGTGGCATGAGTCTCCACCAGGCGCTGCCGCTCCCCAGACACCTGCTCCTCCAAGGTCTGCAGAATGGACTGGAAGTGCTGGTGAAGGGGTGGGCACAGGTCAGGAGAGGTGAAGAAGGTCAAAGGCAGGGTCAAAGGCAGTCTGGAAGGAAGGGCTATAGAACATGCAGTGGGTCTAGACCGGGCAAAGTCAACCTGGGGGTGGGGCTGGATTACAGGAGACTGACTGGAAGGGTGGGGCTATAGGGCCAGGGAGCGGATCTCAGAACGCAAATCTACTGGGTAGGAAATCTAGGTACAGAGCTGACCTGCGTTAAGGTGAAGGGGACCAAGTATTATAGGAAAGGTAGGGCTCTGGGCCTGGGCAGGGCCAACTGGAGTCAGGCTGTGCATAAATGTGACTGAGAGGGGTGGAGCAAGAGTCAAGGGACAGGGCTAACCTAAGTGAGGGGAGGGGGGGAGTTCACAGGGGGTAGGGCTGCACCAAGATGAGGTTGAATCATGAGGCTGGGCCTACTGAGGAGGGATTGAGTAAAGTGAGATTATAGGGGCAGGATCAGATCAGGGGTGGAGCCTCCAAGGACTCCCAGAGGCAGCGAAGGACCTGGCTGTATCTGCAGGGGTCCAGCTTGGGAGAGGACTCCAGAACCAGCCCTCAGAGGTAAGTATCAAGTTAGGACAGGCCAAAACATTGCCAGTCTGAGGAGGAGAGCAATATCAGGTCAAGACACAGGCCAAGAAGGGTGGAACAAAATGTTGGGGTGGGGTCAGGAGAGGCCAATATCAGTAGGAAGGGTTAGAAGTGGATGAGGCTGGACAAGGTGCGAGTCAGGCTGAGCCAGGTGTGCCCCAGGTAGAAGACAGGCAAGAGCAGGACCCACTGGAGGTTGTCCTACCTCATTCAAGGCCTGTCTGTCAGCTTTAGGCAGGTTCTTGGATTGGTTGTCTGCCATGGCCCATTCACGCATCACCTGGGACCAAGGAGAGCTTCAGGATTCTAGAATCCACCCTGTTCCACCCAGTGAGCCCCCCAATTTCTCTTCAAGACTTTGGAGGCTCCAGACTCCTTTAGTCACACTGGCTCTTTGGTTTCCAGGAAGGAAGACTCAGAAGATTTCAAGTTGAAGAGTACCATGCACCCAAGTTTCCATAGAATCTCAGTGGGATTCTAGGTGGGCAAGGGGTACCTCATCTTAGGGGTGGTGTTGAGGGCTGGGGGTCGGTGACTTGGGGAGCTTTTGGAGGTAGTCTTCGCATGTCCCTGAGGAATCTCCTGGTATTTAGTGAACTCTGTGTTGTGGTGGATCCTAGGACCCTAGTATCATCACCTCATTAATCTGGCGCATCCTACGCTCCTCCAGGTCCATCTTAGCCCGCAGAAACCCCTCATGTTCACTGATTTCTCCAGGCATGCCGAAGTACACGTCCACACCATCTGTAGGCCTCAGAGTGGGAGTCACTGCAACACCAAGAATCAGGGGATCAGCAGCCTGAAGCCCATCTCCAGGTCACTTTCCCTTCTGGGGAACTACATTTTCTAGAGTATAGTACATCATGTGTCCATCTTAGCCATAGTTGCTGCCTGGTATAATGGGAGATATAGTTCTAGACTGGGCCTGTTCTTGCAAAGTTTAGGAATCCTCCAAGCTTTTCACAAATAATCCTTAGGACCCATGAAATGGCTTCTCTGTTTCCAGGTACCCCCAAACTACCGTCACTTTTTGCATTCTTCACAGGCCAGCCCTTCCATCACTACTTCATACAAAGCCACTTCCATCCTTTCCATTTCCCCAGGCTGGGCCTCTCCCCAGTAGGTCCCTCCCAAAACTCCCCCCACCCCAAGGCTCCCTCAAATCATCCTCCCTCTAGCATGGAGGGGACTAGAGGCTCAGAGACTGCTTCACCTTTGCTAACCCCTGCAGGGGTATGAGAGCTTGAGGGTGGGACTCTTTCCTCCTCTTCTTTCTCTTCAGCCTGAGGGGGCTCCACAAAGTAATCGTCTACTGGCTGGAGGAAGGATTCCTCCTCTTCCTCGTCCTCACTTCCTTCTGCTCTGCCCCTCATGGGCCAGGACCGGGTGGAGGGGTCACTGAAGGAACAGAGACCCGAGGCAATAAGAACCCAGTCCCAGGCCCCAGGCTTTCATCTCCTGCCTTGGGAACTTTGGGATGGGCGTAGAGGGTTCCAGCCCACTCACCCAACTGCTGTCCCAGACGGGTCGGGGGTCACTGGAGGGGGGCAGCACACATACTCCACACCTCGGTACCGATCTGTGCCACAGGGCAAAAGCATGCCTGATCCATGCAGGATGAGGCCCTGGGAGCTGCAGGCCTGCAGGTAGAATGGGCCCAGATGCTAGGATTTTGGGGTAGGAGAAGGCAGAGGGGGAGCCTGGATGCCTGGGTCTTGGGGGTTGATGGGGCTGGGAGCCTGGATTCCTAGTTCTGTCCCAGTGGGAATAGGAGGCTGAGGCCCAGATTCTTGGGTTCTGGAGGAGGAGGGTGTTGGAGGACTGGACTCCTGGATTCTGGGGGATGAGGATGGATGGGCCAGCGTCCTGACCTCCTGTGCCTCCTGATGCCTCCGGGTTGAACTCTCACACTGGTCCATACGCTCCTGGTGCAAGAACCGGCAGCCTTCGGGCACCAGCAGGGCCTCACTCACGAATTCACTCGCTGGGGAGTTTGGGGGCACCAGAGTGAGACCTTAGTCACTAGCCACTAGTCCCATAGCCACTAGCCCCCCCTCCTCAGAATCCAGATATTTTATCATTTCTTCTCTGCCCAACTCTGTACCCAGGCAACCAGCTCCCTAAGGTGAGCCTGAGACCAGGACCCAGAATCTCACCCCTTGGAAACTCCCACCTCCCTTCTCTCTCCCCCAACTTGTGACTCACGCAGGCAGTGGAAAGGCACAACCTCGTGGTGGAGGTGGGCACAGCGGCCACCCCGGGCACCCCCACACCAGTGCTCCATGGGGATGGCCTGCGTCGCCTGTTCCACACGTGCTATCTGTAGATCCGGGTACATCTGGGGGCACCGGGTGGGGGCAATTAACCCATGGCCCCGCCCATGCCAGCCGCGTTCTCCCTCTTCAAATCTCTGGTGTTCATAAGGACCTCCACTTCCTAGGCTCTGCTTCTCTATAGAACCAGTCAGGTATCTAAGTCACGCAGGCCCATTGGCCACGCCCCCTAGTAGCTCTCCCTTAAATGCCCTACCGTCCCTAAGGGCCCCTTTGCCAATCTGGTTTCTTTTCCAAGGTCCCTCCAGAAACTCAATCCCTCTAAGCCCGCCTCTCTTCTAGTCACTTCTGCCCCCTCCCCCAGTCAGGTTCATCACCCCATAGGTTCCACCCTTCTTTAAGCCTCTCCTCTTTCTCTGGCCTCTCAATGAAGAGTACTTTCTCTTTGTGTTAGACCTGCCTTTTTACAGCGACACCTCCGAGCTTTCCGTGGTCTCTTTGGGCTCCACCCCTTTTCCTATCCTGTTAGTCCTTCAGATTTTTTCCTCTTAGTCCTGCCTCACCTTTAGCCACGTCCATCTATACATACCCTTACTCTTTAAGGGGCCCATAACATACTTCTAAACTCTTGTCTTTTCACTGGATGCCTTTCTTAGCTGGCCATATTTGCATGGTACTCCCCCTTTGCTGACCTAGTTTCTCAAAAATAGGTTCCACCCTTTCCTAAATTCGACTCTTTTTTGGCCATGCTCTCTAGCTTCTCACGCCTTCTTAGATCCCTCATTCTCCCTGGACCATGCCTTTAAGCACCACTAGCTTCTGAGGCGCTACCCGGTCGCGTGTTGGACCAGCTTTCCCGCTGACCACGCCCATCCCAGTAGGCCCCGCCCACCTGTCTGCAGTACTCGAGCACGCGTTGCGGGTCCCGGAGACAGCGTCGCGAGCGCTGTGCGTCTGGTTCCCAGCGGCCGGTGCGCAGGTCCCGGTGAAGTGTTAGGTGCCCACATAGTCCAGCCACCTGGGCCGACCCCGGGGCCTGGGGGTGGGAGCGGAGTCAGCGAGGGCCTGGGGTCGTTGGCTTTGGGTCCCCCGGACCTTTGCTCTCTAGGATTCAGATGTTCAGATCCCCAGCACCAGCCCCCTCCACCAAACACTGCGCGCCCACCTCCGTTGAGGTACTGCTCCTCGGGAAATTGCTCCCACAGGGCGGGGGCGCAACAGCTCTCCTGTTGCTATGGCGACCCGGGTCCCTCGGGATTCTAGAGGCCTGTTGCCGCGGACACAGGCTCCGCCCCCACATCGGCGCAGCCGCACTGGGGCCCGAAGGGGTTAAAGCTGAATCGCGGGGGAGGCGGCCAGAACCCAGGCGTCTGGCCCCTCCTCCCTCCATCCCAGCTCAGGTTCTGATTCTCGGGTGCAAAGACGAGAAGGCCTGGCTTCAGAGCCCTGCAAGCGTGGACATCTAGTCCTTGAAGGCTGGAAAGCTACATCTGGGCTGGGGGGCGGTGGTTGGAGGCCTAGACTCCTGAGTTCTAGGAGGCTATAGGGCCCCTCAAATGGGTCCAGTGGATGCAAGGGGTCCGGATTCTTGGATCCAGGTGCTTTGCGGTCTAGTGGGTCCACGTTCATGTGGGAAGGGGTCGGGGCTGAGTCACCTAGGTCGAGAGGGTCTGAGGGAGCTGGACTTCAAGCCAGTTCCTATGCTAGGGGCGAGAGGCGCCTGGATTACAGACGATAAGGGATATGGAGCTTGGACTCGCTTAGGAGAGCCTGGGGACCAGCCACCTGGTAGAAAGACTGCCCTTTCTGCCCTGGACAAGTCCGGTTTGGGGGTCCAGAGTCCCAGTCCCGCCCCTTCCCGCATCCCCCAGGACCCGCCGGGCCTCACCTCGGCTGCACCGGGACTCCCACCGCTCAGGCTCCCGACGGCGAGTTGCGCGCGCAGAAGCAGCGGCAGTAGTGTCAGCAATAGCTGCAGCGGCGGCGGCCCTCGGCGGCAGCCCAGATCGCGAGCGGCGGGGCGTACGGGCCCCATGTCCCGGCCCTCACGCCCTCACGTCCCTTGCACTCCCGCCCGGCCCCAGCGGTGACAGGAGCTCCCAGCGCCGCCGCCGCCGCCGCCTCCCGCCACCCCCGGGCTGCGCCGGCGCCGCCAACCCCGCCCCGCGCCGGCCCCGCCTTCCAGGCCAGGACAATAGCGTGGCAGCTCTGCGCAGAGTGGAGGAGATCGGGAACCCCCGGTGGGAGCCTGCGCAAGGCCCCCGCCCCCTTGAGACTCCGGCGTCCCACCACTGCCAGGGCCTTGCCAGGAGTCTGGGTCATGGGCTCCTCCGCTGTGGATTTTGAATCTGCCCTCAGGACCCTTAGACCCAGACACACACAAATCAGCTTCCTCCTTTTCCAGGGATGCCAGCATTGGAGAATCCCCCTCTTGTCTCCCAAACCCCACCTCCCTGCCCAACAAATTCCTTTCCTAAGATCCCAGGAATACAGGCCTCTACAATTTCTCCAATCAAGAACACAGCAGTTAAGATCTAGCCCCCTTCTCCCTTAGATCCGGGAGTCTGGGTCCCAGACATTTTTCTCAGGACCACAGACAAAGCCCACAGTCCTTTTCACTAAGACCCGGGAGTCTAGGCCTTCTACTCTGCTCCCCAAAGACCCTAGGTCTGGACCTTTAATTCCTAGCTTAAGGATCCATGAACTAAAGCCTCCAGACCTCTTGTTTAAGGATAACCTGAATCAGGCACCCAGTACCTCAGGACCCCATACTCACTCTAAGGACCTACCCTTAGCCTCTGCCTCCCTGCCTTCTCTTCAGGACTCATTGCTTTGTCTCCTCTAATGACAGTGTAGAATTCTGTCCTCCCCAAGCTAAATGGGGTGGCCCTGTCCTGTGTGTGCATCCATAGGTCTATGTTTGTGTAGTTGCATATTAAAGAGCCTGGAGCTCTGAACAAGTAGCCAGGGGCTGGGAGGTGGCTTACAGTTTTGCTCCTACAGCCACTTCACAGCCTAGGGTTAGAAGAAGGGCCCTGGGGCAGGTTCAGTGGATACTTTCCTTGATGTAGAGTAATAATGTGAGGAGAATCCTTAAAACACATTCACTGCTCCACTTTTTTTTATTAAACATAAATATTTTCATCCCCAGATTCCACCCCAACACACACACCTGTGACAGTTCTCACCCTATTTTTACTTCTTAAGCCCAATTCTTCCAGGGCCTTTAGGAGGTTGGAAGGAATCAAGATTGTAACTTGCCATCTTGGCTTCACTTCCATTGGCCAAGCAAACTGCACCTCAGGGAGAACAGGATAGGACATGGTCTAGCTTCCACCTTCATCTGCCCTATGCTGCCTATCTTATTAATGCAGGTGGTCATCCTGAAATATCTTCTTTCAGTGTCTGAAAACAACTTCCATTCCTGCCCCTAAGACCCATCACCCCGTGTCCCCATCCCTCTGCAAAGAGCTCATTTGTCATCTTGAATATCTTTTGCATAGGAGAATAGGTAGGCACAGTGGCCATCTTGCTCCCACTTGGGGCATCCCCTTAGCTGAGCTCACTGTAAATCAAGGATCCAGACAGTTGTAACGATCTTTCCCTCCCCTCAGTGTTCAGTTTTGGAGAAATAAGGTTACCAACTTGTTCTGTTTCCTCAGAAATCAGGACACTCCATTATGGCAAGCTGAAGATCTCAGGACTCTTCAGTCACACGTGAGTCTGGAGACGTGGGTGGCCAGATGTGGGGAAGGCAGTATATGGGAAGGGGGGAGTCCTGGGGGCTAGATCTGGGGGCCCAAAGGATGTGGGTTTCATGTAGCTGGTAAAAGCTCGAGGATGAGGTGTGGTGAGATAACCTGCCCGGGCTCTATACAGTCTGCAAGGGGGGACCATGCCCAGGTGTGGGTTGAAGTCATAGAAGGTAGGTGTCCCTGGAGGTCCAAGAGGGGAGGAGGGTGGCAAGAAGAGGCCTCCTCCAGGGCCTTCACCAAGGCTCAAGCTCACACTGACTCCTCGGACCTTGTAGTAACCATTGGTTGGGTCCTGAGGGGACAAATGGGATATGTTAAGGAATGTGGAGAACACAGGGAGTGAGGGTCACTGACAGAGAGACACACTGAGATAAAGTCAGACCTAGAGAGAGATAAAAAGACATAAACAGGAGCAGGCAGAAACCCAGAGGTAGAGAGACAGACATATAGACTGGTAGGAAGACAAAGTGGGACAGAAAAATGAGAGACAAAGGGACAGAAGGAGATGGGCAGAGAAAGGCAATAACAGAGGGATACAGGCCTGCTGAGGGGTGGTGGTGTAGAAGGAGATGCAGAGGGAAGAAGAGAGAGATTCATCTTGAGACTAAGAAATTCATTCATCTTCACAACAGTCCTGGGGCTTTGATTCTGTGTCATGTCCTGTACAGTTGCTGAAGGCATCTGTCACTAGAAGACACTGGCCCTGTCCTCACAGAGCCCAGATTCTCAGAGTGAAAATGACAAATCACCTGAGCCCAGAAGGGTCAGGTTGTGATGGGGAAGCACAGGCAGGATTTCAGGCTGTGACAGGGGAGCCCAGGTCAGAGTGGTGCTGGCTGTGACAGGCGAAACTGATAATTAGGGCTGTGAGGAGGGAAGCATGGGATTTCTAGAACAAGAAATGATGGAGCTGAGACCAGGGGGATGAAGAGAAATAGGTAGGTATGGGAAGGAATGTGGGAGTGTTTCAGGCCAAGAGAATATCATGTGCCAGCTACAGAGGAGGGATAAGGGCTCTGGACTGGGGACTGGGGTCAGTGGGGCCCAAAAGAGATGGAACCCCAAAGAAGCAGCAAATCTGGAGAGGTGCGAGGCCAGTGTGGGATCTGGTAGGTGGCCTGGCCATGGGGGAGGCAGCAAGGGAGAGGCATCCTGGGATGCGACTGTGATGGGGAAGGTACAGGCAGAGCTAAGCCTGGTCTGGAGCTCAAGAGGGAGGCCAAGGCTGGGACAGATAAGTGGGAAGAGTCACTGAGTATGCACCCAGACTATGGAGGTAGGTGAAGCAACCCAGAAGGCAGGGAGAAGAGGTAGAGAGGGCTAGGTCCCAGCTGTGGGGCAGCAGAGTGAAGAAAAGGGGTGGGGGACAGAAGCAGGGAGAGAGTTGGAGACAGTGAAGGGAGCCCTTCCCAACACTCACCTTGGTCTCCAGAGCCCCCTCCTCATCCAGAACCAGGTCACTGTGGTCCGTGTGTACAATGGGTCCCTGGGGTAGGGTGCTTAGTGAGAGGGAGTGGTCAGAGGGTCCTCCTGCCCCAGTGCTGGACCCTAAGGACCCTCAGCTGGACAACTGATGCCAGGCAGGGGGGATTAAGAGTACTGAGTAGCTGGAGTCTGGATTCAGGACAGTAAGGGCCCTAGAGACATATTTGGTCTAGGGAATAATTCAGTCAGGGGCATATTTGAACTTGGGGGACCTTTGGGTCTGGGGTCACTGTTGGGACTTGGGTTTTATATGAGTTTGGGGGCCCTGATGGGAGCGTAGTTGGGACTAGGTTACAATCTGGGATCTAGAGGCAAAGTCAGGTATGGGGACCCTGGCATCCTACCTGGTCCTCGCCACTGCCGGTGTCCTCCTCCTCTGGGCCCCGTGAGCTGGAGCCATTGCTGCTGCCTGGGATTCGCACCAGGTTCTTTTGCTTGGAGAAAGTAGCTGAGGCCAAGGACAGTGAGGGGATAGGAGTAAGTGATGGGGCAGGATCACAGTGTGGAAACCAATAAGCAGGAAGAGAGAGGGCTGGGGAGGACAGGATCAGGAGCCTGGGACCCAGTGGGAATGCAGACCTGGGAAGGCGAGGAGTGTGACCCTGAGAAGGTGCATTAGGGCATGAGGGAGCAACCAGGGCCTTCAGGTGAGCCCAGCCTCTTGGGGCCAGAAAGGTGAGACTGTGCCAGGTCCAGGCCAGGCCAGTCAGTAGTGGGCAGGGAGAGTGTGGGGTGCATGTGGAGGGCCTTAGGCACTGACCCTTGCCATGGCGCCAACAGCAGAGAGCCACCCCTGTGATGACCATAAGGAGAGTTATGGCCGCAGAGGCCACTCCAGCCATAATCCGCAGGGTGGGCAGCAGGTCTGCAGGGAAAAGAGGGGACATTCTGAAGAACTGGGGAATGGGATCTCAAGGTTTGGTTTGAGGTCTCTGGGTTCAAAAGGTCACCAAGTTTGTAGTCCCCTGGCTTGGGGTCCCTGGGTTTAAGGGCTCATTAATTTGAAGTTCCACAAGTTTAAACTCTCTGGCTTTAGGCAGCCTTAAAGCTTGAGGGGTTTTTAACTTTGCAATTCCCCGTGTGTGGAGATTCTCTTCTTTGGGGGTGCCTAAGTGTGAGGGGGAGGGTCTCTCAGTTTAGGATTGTGTACTTGAGGGAATTAATTGTTTCAGGATCTCAGGATTCAAGGGACTCATGGTTCTGAGACTTCGGAGGTTTGAGGATCCCTACATTTGGGAGTCCACGGGTTTAGGGATTGCGGCGTTCTGGGGATTTGGGATCCTCAGATTTGAGGTCTTCAGGACCAGGGTCTCACCTCTACGGCCCAGGCTGACCCGGGTGCCTCCCTCACCCAACCGGTTCCGTGCACTGCAGTTGAAGCCCCGGCTAAAGTCGGACTCCTGGGTCCCCGAAATGTGTAGCACAGAGATCATGCCCGGGCCCTGTTCCCCGAGGCCCTCCGGGGCTGGGAACGTCTCCACCAGGAACCGACCCCGCGATCCGGCCGCCAGGAAGCCCTCATCCCAAGACCAGACCTGGGGGTACAAAAGAGGGAGGACACTGAGGAGACTGGAGAGGGAGGGAAGGGGCGGGCAGGGTGTCAGACCATAGCTGTTTTGCGCGTCCGGCTGAGAGCCGCGACGTTTCCTTACCACGGCTTCAGGGGCGGGGGAGGCGAAGACTAGACACTGGAGGCGGGCGGGGCCCCTCAGGAAGGCGGGAGCAGAGTGCAGGGCGGTCACTCTCGGGGGAGCTGTTTCGGAGATTGTAGGCCAATCAGAGGAGAGGCCCCGCCCCCTCAGGAGTCCGCCCTCACTGGGTCCGGGTCCCTCCCGCAAGGCCAGCCACGTGAAGGCCACGCCTACTCGCATTTGGACCTCGCCACCCCTGCTCCGTAGTATCCCAGCACCTGCCCGATCCTCCAGGAAGCACTGCTTTCTCACCGTTCACAGTCAACCTGGCCTCCGCAGAGCCGCCCCCCAGGCCCGAGAGCCCCGGCTCAGCCCTGCACTCATAGTCGCCTGCATCCTCTGGCTCCACCGACAGAAGACGCAGCGTGCTCCCGGAGCCCAGCACCTGGGATAGGGAAAGGGGGTCAGGGGTAGGACCTTGAGAGGAAGACAAGGTCCACCGCCAGCCACCGCCACAGGCCCCAAACTCCGCCTCACCTGAGCGCCTCCGCGGCGGGTCCAGGTTACCCGTGGGGTCGGGTTCCCGCGCCAGGCACAGCTGAAGGAGGCATCTTCTCCGACGTCAACTGACACGGGCTCAGGTCTCGCCTGCAGAATCGGCCCGACTGGAGGAGAAAGAGGAGAGGTCCCATGACAAGGGACAAACGCATCTTCTGACCCAGGATCAGTCACTCAGAAACGACACCTTCCAGGGTCCCAGAACAGGCCCGCAGCCACACGTCCCGTCCCCACCCTCGCTCCGCCCCTGCCCTCGCCCCGCCCCTGCCCCGCTTTGGCACAGGCCCAGCACAGCCAAACCCTGCCTACCTCCGATTCCCGTCCCACCTCCTTCCACAGCCCGTTTCAGCCACGCCCCATTTCAGCCCGCCCCAATTTGGCCACGCCCCAGCTCACACTGCACGTCTAGCGCGGTGCTGCGGTTGGCGCTCCCCACTGCGTTGCTGACCTCGCAGGACACTGGTTCAGTCAGGAATGAGGCGTCTGCCACGACCTCCAACACTGGCCCGCGGGCGCCGAGCACCGGGGAGCCCCCCTTTGCCCACCTGCGGAGGTGGTGGGACTGTGAGGTGTTATCCCAGCCTGATACTTCCCCAAGCCTGTGCACCCTGCTGGGGAGAGGTGACCTTCGTCCTCACCTATAGCCGGTGACAGGAGGTTGGGCCGTGGCCTTACACAGGAAAGTTACTTTCTCTCCCTTCTGCACAGTCTGTGGTTCTGCAGACAGTGTCACCACTGGGGGGTCTGTAGAGGTGGGGCAATTGTTAGTGGTGGGCAAGGAAGGACCTGGAACACTTCCACTGATGAGCTAAGATTCTAGTTCCCAGCCCCTTCACCCCAGGAGTCTGGATCCCGTCTCCTCTTCGCTTTGAGCTCAGCGTCCAGGCCTCCAGTTTCCAATTCCCCCAGAGCTTCAGGTCCACAATCCCCTGCTTCCTCATGCCCTGGAGCTTAGACATCAGCTCCCCTCTTTCTCCAAGGATCTCAGGCTTAAGGGCCAGTGTCCAACTGCACTCACACTGCAGGTTTAGTGTGACAGCTGTATCCTTTCCCGAGGGCAAGGCCTGGCTTCGGGCCCGGCAGACCAAGGTGGCTCCATCATCGTGGCTGAAAGGGGTCAAGAATAAGATGCTCTCCACTGAACCAGTGGTTCCTTCCTTCAGCAGGGTCTGAAATGAATAATAATGATGATTTTATCTACCCCTTATATAGCATTTACTGTGTGTCAGGCACTTTTGGGTATTTATAGGTATTACTGTATTTAATCCTCACAATCACTCTAGGAAGTGCATACTACTCTCATCTTCATTGTACAGATAAGCGAACTGAGGCACATAGAGTTTAAGGTATTAGCTCAACATCAATCAACTAGTGAGTGGCTGAAATAGGATTTGAACCTGAGTAGTTTGGCCCTGGAGTCCTTACCCTTAATCACACACCAAGGGTCCCAACCCTTAAATTCCTACCCTCCCATATCCTTTTCTCCTCTGGATGAGAGTGTTGTCTTAGTGGACCCCAAATTTCGCTGAATGGGCAAGGCTGTCACAGAGACTAGGACCTGACCTGGTGGAAGGTGGCTCCATCCAGCCGGACCCCATCTCGTAACCACAGCAACTCAGGGGTCGGGTGGGCATCCCCACGGCTTCGGCAGGTCAGATTTGCAGGAACTCCAACAACCAGAGACACAGAGGGAGCACCCAGCACCTGGGGGGCTTCTGGGGGCACTGTTGGGTGGATGGGGGTCAGAGCTGGACCCTGGGCCCAGAGACCCTGATCTTCCTAGTTCTAATTGACCACCCCTCTGGGCTCTGTGGACTCTCTACTCTCAGATAACACTGGCTACCCTTGGGCTCTCTGGGGGAAAATGGGCTGGATCCTCACCCAGCACATGAAGTTGGGCTGGTCGAGAGCGGAGGCCTGCTTGTGTAGCTTGACATTCATAAGATGCTTGATCCTCTAGCTCCACAGGTCTAATGTGGAGGTTATGCTGGCCACTGGCTGCATTCCCTGATATCCAGTACCGAGACCACCCTGGAGTCAGGGAAGAGTCAGTCACATCATAGTTCTGAGTTCCTGGCCCCAGGCCTCCATCCCCAGATATCCCACACCAGAAAGACACTAAAAAGTAGGTGCTGGGCCAGAGAAACTCTAACCACCTCTCAATCCAGAGTTGCAGGAAACATGGGGGTAATCAAAGTCAGAAAAAAGCAAGAAAACAATTGCCATAAAAGTCAGATTAGAAATACCTGTGGGGTGTGGAGAGGGCTATGTTAGGGGAAGGGGATACAGAGGGCTTCTGGGGAGCTGGCAGTTGCCCTAGGGAGTGGTTATGTGGGTACCTACTTTATAATTATTTGGCAAATCTTCCATCTATGTTTTGTGTACATTTCTGCATTTATGTGATATTTTACAATAAAAATTAAAATCCCCAAACCCTATAGGTCAAACCCCAGTAAGACGCTAAAAATTCAGGATTCCCAAATGTCTGAGTCCATCATATTCCCTAAGTTGAAAAATATCAAAATAGGAACTTCAGGTACAGACTAAGCCCAGCACCCTCACCTTGAGCCAGCCCCTCCCTGAGTAGAGAGAACAGACTCACCTGGCAGGTCCCTTTCACCCCCTAAAGCCAGCCCATCCTTAGTCCACTGAACCAGCCCCCTGTATGCTCCCAGGGCACAGGGTAGCCGAGCCTCATCCCCCAGCAGTACCACCAGGTCTTCGGGCTGTTGCAGGAAATGGGGCGACAGGCCTAGGACAATGGGGGCGGGAGGCAGCAGAGCAGAGCTTAGCACATTCAAGAACTCCCCCATTCAGGATCCAGGAGTCCAAGCCCCAGGTCTTCTTTCCTGAGACCAGAAGCCCAGGCTCCCAGAGTTCTCTTTCCACAGACCCAGGAGTCTGAGTCCCCAGTTCCATCCATTCTAGTACAGTGGCAGCTGGCAAACAAACCTCCCCCACATTTATTTATCCCCACCCTCGCCCCTCCAGGTACCTGCACGCCCTCTGAAGCAGAAGAGGAGGACGAGAACGGCGGGGACCAGCATCCTTAGTGTGTGTCCCCCAAGATCTCGCAGACTCTTTGCAATGGCTTCTCTGCCAACTCTTTCCTGAGCAGCACACCTCCCACCACCCTGGCCAGAGTCCCCTTAGCGCCCGACTTTTCGTCCCAAGCTAGAGGTCTCCCTGTCTCTGGCCTGTAGTTCCCCAAGTCTGCCAGACGCAGGCTCGGATTCTGAAACGCTGGCCAGTTCTGTGCCTTTGGTCTTGGAGAGACTCGGGGAGGGCTCGATCCCACTCGCCCCGCCCCGCTCCGCCCCGTCCCCTCAGAGACCTGCCCTCTTCCCATTCAGAAACTCCCGCGGCCTCGGCGCTGATGAATGGGGGCGCACGAGGCGGGGTTCCCTCTCCAGCCGGCGTCCCAGCCCAATTGGGGTCTGGGAGCCGAAACACCTGGGTCGAAGGAGGGGGTCCCGGCTGGGTTGGACACCTGCGTCCTGCCGGGGTTGGTGGGAGGCATAGGGAAGAGGAGGAGGGACGGGAGTGAGTGGAAGAAACTTGCTCAGCTCAGGTCCTGGAGGGACCGCGCTGAGTGGAAACCGAGCTATTAATGGGAGCCCCTGAGGCCTCGCTAGTTTCCGCGCCCTGGGGAGGCGGGGCCCGGGGCTCCTCTGGGCCTACGGGTCAGAAAGGGGGCACCTGGGTTGCGGGGGTGGGGGCGCCTGAGCCCCGAGAAAAGGGGGTTCATTTCTCCCCTCAGTATCCTCTGCCGCCTTGTAGCCGCTGCAAGCCGTAGCTCGTCCTAAGATCCAGGAATCCAGGCTCCCAGCCTCTCCTTTCCCAAGACCCCTCAGTCTGGGCTCAGCCCCTCGCCCCCCTGGCTGCGGTTGCCGGGCGACGGCTGGGAGGCGGCTGTGCCCGGGCTGGGACAGGCAGGGAGGCTGGGAACCGCGCAGCTTGTCCTGAAGGCTGCATGCCGCCCAGCTGGGGCGTTCCCACGCTGCAGGCCGGCCGGTGCGCTGCGCAGCTGGCTGGCAGGTGGGCGGGACCCCGAGCAGACTGAGGGAGGCCTTGGTCTGACATTCCTGAGCTTGTGGGGACTGGGGGTCCACACTCAGGCTCTTCGTTGTTCCTGAGCTCAGATTCTTGTATCCCTAAATAGCAGGGGCTTGGACACCCAGTATGCTGAGACTGGGAATTCAGACTTCTGTTGACAGAAGCTAACTGCCTGAACTCTGAGTTTCTGAGGAGTTGGGGACTCAACTAGGTCCCCGGCCTGCAGCAGGGTACAATTGAGAGAGGATGACAAGGGGTCAGAAAATCTCTTAAGTCCTAGAGTCAGTGGATTTAACTACCAGTCTCTCTCCTACCCCCACACAGGCCCAGGAGGATTTGAAAATCAACAGACAGTAAACATCTGTCCTAAGTCCTGTGTGTGTGTGTGGCTGGGGGTGGGGGAGCTCCTGAACTCCTGGGTCCTTGGGGAGAAGGGACTTTGGGCCTGGACTCCTGAGTCTGAGAGGGGTGGGTCCTGGGGCCCCAGACTCTTAGGTCTGAGAGCCTGAACTCCTAGCTTCTGTTTTGGGGACCCGATGCCTGGATTTTGAAATAGGATGAGACTGGGGGAACTCTTGTCTTGTGAGAAGAAGTCAGATTTGTATCTTGGAGAGGAAGTCAGGTAGTAAGGCTCTTTTTCTGGACACCTGACACAGCTTTCCTTTCCTGGATCTCTGGGGCCACATGCATGGAAAGATGGAGAGCTTGCGGTCCCAGGAGCATCCAGAGAAGGAAAACAGCCAAGGTGGAGGGTGGAAGGTTTATGCTACTTAAAGGTCCCTGCAATTGACAGCTCTACCTCCTGCCCTGAGGGACACCAGCTGGTGAGGTCCTCTATGGCAGAACTTCCAGCTCATTCCCCAGGGAGTGTGGGGGCAGTTGTCAGAGGGAATGGGGGAGGAGGACAAGGAGTCAATAATGGGAAGGAAGGGGAAAGACTGGGGGAGCATCTAGGTGGAGCTGTGGGGCCTCAAGCCAGATGCCTGTGCTTCTTCCTAGAGGAGGACTAGGTGGAGGGGCCATAGGGGGAGAGACAGAGAAAACGAGCGTTTCAACTCCTGCAGGAGATAAGCAGGCAGAAGAAGCTTATCCCATGGAATCCCATGTGTACTCACACACTGGGGAGGGGAGGGCAGACCAACAAGCATATGGTTATAAAATTCAAAGACGTGACAGTGGAGAGGACTCAGGGATGGAGAAATAAATAAGACAAAGAGGAGTAATCAGAGGTCGACTGAGAGCAAATATTTATTAAGTTCCTGGTGTGTGTGAGAGACAGAGTATGGGGTTGGAGGGAGAGATGGAGATGAGAACAGAAACAGCAAGACAGAGAAGCAGAGACATGTAGAAGCCTACAGAGAGAGAGATGGTGAATAGGTAAAGGCTGACTGAGATGTAACTGTCTAATGGAGAGAGAGAGGGAGAAAGACAGTGAGACAGGGAGAGTCTCAAAGGGATGGAAATTAAAACGGAGATTCAAGGTATAAAGATTAAATGGAGATGGAGAGATGGAGGGAGAGAGACAGATACACAGAGGAGGAAACAGGAGGTGGGGGGTGGAGCTGCATGAACCAGAACTCCCAAGCGCCTGGCCTAAGGGTTCCCGTGCTGGGCTGATTGCTATTCGCACACAAAGCACTGGTGGTGTGGGACCTGGCCTTTCCCTCCCACCCACTCTGACTGCCCAGCACCCTGCACACTTACACCTTAGTTGCTCTTACAAACTCACACACTCTGCACACACCCTCACAGGTCACAATTCACTCTCACCTTCCCCCTGCTAACACACACATCCGCGCTGGCATCTGCACTCTCTCAGGCTCTCGCATGCTCTCTTGCACACTCCCCAGCAGAGATCTCTGAAGTCACTGAGGGAGTGCTGTCTACTTAGGGAAGGAAGGGACCTGCCAAGTTCGTGTACCAGGGCAGGGGAAGAGCTGGAGAGTCCTACCCCAACCCTGGACTCAGCTCTTTGCTCTCCATGCTGGGCTGGGACTGCGTGGGACTCACCTGCTCCCCCTTATCCCTGACCCAAGCCGGGCCCTTGGGATCACAGGGGCTTGGGAGGCACTGAGGAATGTGCCTGGCATGTGCTGACAGGGGATTTCATGCTTCAGTGGGGGTGGGAGGAGCTCCTAAGCAAAGGCCGGGAGCTGGACTCTCAGGAGTGTGCCTGGGGGAGGAAGCAGTGTGAGGACAAGATCAGGCTTGGTCTCAGAGGGGGCCCAACTCTGCAACTGACCAGTTGGCCTCATGGCTCTCTTGGGCTCCTGGGGCCTATGGGACTCTGAGCAGCGGGTCTTCCCTCAGTAGCTGTGAGTGGTGGTGAAGGAGAGCAGGGCTGGAAGCAGCTGGGGAAAAGAAAGAGAAATAGAGACTGCCTAAGAGGGAGATAGAGACTCAGAGAGGGAGTGCGCCTTAGACAGGGAGAGAGAGATTGACAGGGGGACAGAGGGAGGAAGGGAGGGACGGAGGGTGGGGGAGAGGGAGAAAGACTGGGTAGGAGGGGCAGGAGGAGGGAGGGTGGAGAGGACTTAGAGCAGGAGTAGAGAGAGAAACACAGACGGAGGGAGAGGGGGAGAGGGAGAGACTGACTTGTGGGAAGAGAGGAAAACAGAGAAAGAGAAGGTAACAAATAGAAAAAGAGAGGCAAAGAGAAAAGAAAGAGTCAAAGATATAGAGAGAGAGACCCAGAGAAGGACAGAAGCACACACAGGAGGCAGGCAGGGGCACTGCACTAGCCACAGGCAGAGGCTAGGGGATGGCCTTGAGGATCCCCGTCAGGGCTTCCCTGCTCTTCATGAGGCTGCTGACCACAGGTGAGTGGGGTCCTGGCCTTGGGACCCAGAGCCAAGTGACCCTCATTTCCCATCCTTCTCTAGAAAGACCCTTTCTGCCCTCTGCTGCTGCCCCCCTCTCCTCTCCTACTCTCCCTCTCCCTGTGTCTCAGGCCTGGCCCAGTTGCCTATTCCTGCCTCAGCCCCCCGAGGCTTCTGGGCTCTGCCAGAAAATGTGACAGTGGTGGAGGGTGCTGCTGCTGAGCTGCGGTGTGGGGTCCGGGCCCCTGACAGTGTGGTGCAATGGGCCAAAGATGGGCTACTCCTAGGTCCTGATCCTAGGATCCCCAGCTTCCCAAGGTACCACCTTGAAGGTGACCCCTCTAGAGGTAAGAGATCAGAGCGTGAGACTCCGAGCCACCAGCAGAGGCTGACTGTGGCTCTGACCTTGGGACCCACCCACAGGTGAATTCCACTTACATATTGAAGCCAGTGACCTCAGCGATGATGCAGAGTATGAATGCCAGGTCGGCCGCTCAGAGACAGGCCCAGAGCTGGTGTCCCCCAGAGTGGCCCTGTCCATCCTGGGTAAGAACCCATAATCTGGGCTTCTGAGCCTCTCCTACCTCAGGGCCCAGGGTTCCAAGCCCCCAGGCCCTCCTTCCTCAGACCCAGGGCACAGAACTCATTTCATGAACAATGAGACTCAAAACCCAAAGCCTCATACCTTCTGTGTGGCGGTAGCTTACCCCGCACCCTTTCTCACCAGTCCCCCCTAGGGTGCTTCAGCTGACCCCTGAGGTAGGGAGCACAGTCACGTGGGTAGCTGGGCAGCAGTACGTGGTCAGTTGTGTGTCCGGGGACGCAAAGCCAGCACCTGACATCACCTTCCTCCAGAGTAAGTGTGGGGCAGCTGGTGGGGCAGTGTGAAGCCCCAGTGCTCTCCTAGGGGCCCCAGAAAATGACATTCCTGAGATGGGGCAGAAGCAGGCTTGGGGAGATGCTGAAGCCAGTGTGGGATCAGCAATGGGAGAGGACATCCAGGGAAAGGCGCCAAGGAGATCATAAGACTGCTAGCCTGGGACGCAGGGAAGAGGCTGAGGCCCCAGACAAAGACATGGGTGACATCATCAGTGCAGAAGCCAGAAGCTGAGGTGATAGTGGGGCGTGGGGGTGGAGGTTGTGACACAAAGACCCAGCAAGAAAGGGATGGG